CGTGAGATGCGTCTGGGGGATGCCACCTTAGCAGCCGAGGACAGGCAACATGTAATATTGACGGACGATGAGCTGTTTGGTGATGGTGATGATGATGAGCCAGGAGTTCCCACGGCGAAATATAATGTCGCCGATGGCACTATGACTAACAGCGTGAATCCAGCTGACGCGTGGGGCCGCGTCTCTTTACTCAAGAAGGACACACCGGGGGAACAGATGTCCTGCTATTGCCGTTTGCACGGGTGCTCCAGATTGATTGCATGTAGCAGGGCTCCACCATTTCAAGACATCATCGATTGGTGCACTGCTGGGTATCGCATGGGGACAGCTCGCACAGACGCCTTGAAGAGGCGACGCATGGCTGAGTTCCCAAAGCCCCATTAGAGTTGCGAAGCCGTCGAGGGCGACGGACCTCGGACGGGGTGGACGGGGGAGGGAGGCAGCGGGATGGAGGAGTTGGGCACGAGGGCGGGCGGGGGAGGGGACAAGAGGAGGCAGGGGGAGGAGGGGGAGGAGGAGGAGGAGGAGGAGGAGAAGGAGAAGGAGGAGGAGGATGAGGAGGAGGAGAATCTGCACTGTGCACTGTCACACTTTTCAATTGGCATGGGCTGCGTCCTATGCTGTGCTTCCCCCCTTGCTCCATCTCTCTCTCTCTATATAAATGTAAACTACATATATATATCATAATATCTCTCTCCCTATTTCTCCCTCTCTCGCTCTCTCTCTCTCTTTCTCTCTCGTTCTAGCTCTGCATTCTGCATCTGTCCCGGCAGGGCTTTCGCCCTCTCCGCCATCCATTTTGGATCGCAAGAGCGCAGCTGGTCTCGTGCGCTGGCCGAGCGCCGCGCAGCTGGCCGAGCGCCGCGCAGCTGGTCTCGCGCGCTTCGCGCAGGGCAGGGCGAGCACCGGGGCCAGTGGATCTGGTCGAGGCGGCATAGCCGATCGGTCCTGCTCTCGGCGGTGGCGCGTCCAAGGTGTAGAGACCGACCTTCTTTCTTTGTAATGCCTTGCATGCGCTCGCATTGGAAGCTGCCCACGGCGGACTGCTGCGCCGGCCAAGGAGGCGCGCTCGTCACCATCGCCTTTCTCCACCTGCTTCTCGGCTCTCCCCTCTTCGCAATATGCTGCCGTTGCCCCGCCCCTTCCCCCCCTGGCCCGCAATGTCGTTCTCGTCTTCCCTGCTTCTACCGATTGCATGCCTCCAGGGCTTTTGCTGCTGGCCAAGTTAAGCGCCAGGCATTCGAGCGTTGTCTCTCTCTATATCTCTCTCTCTCGCGACATCTTGGGGGCGCTCGCGCCCATGGCAGACGCGCTCGTATGCGAGAGGTCAGCGGGTGACTCCGCTGCGCGAGAGCTATAGGTTGCGAGATCCAAGCATGAGATGAGGAGGGAGGGCTCTGGTCTCGGTCTAAGCGCACGGTGGGGCGAGCATCGCGGCAGTCTGTTAATGTCTGACTGGCCAGAGTTTCTGATGATATTTGCGCGCAACACGTCCAAGATAAAGTGAATAACTGCACTCATACTTCGCAGCAACTTGAATATAATAACATGTTAGTTCGTAGCAACTTGAGTATAATAACATGCTGAGATGTGCGCATTCGAATTTCTGAACATCAAGCCCCGTGTTAGTTAGAGCAGCCCTAACTCGCACGCGTGTTAGTTAGCGGCCGCTAATTCGCACTCGCGGAAATTCAGATATGTTCAGTTATTGTGGTTACGAAACTCCATTCGCCACAATTCGGAAGTAATTTAAATCAGACATGTTAGCCCTGTGCGGTTTAGTAACTCAGGGTGCCCTGCGCGCACTAAGTGCCCCCCCCCCATACCCCACCCACCTCCGCCGCGCGCGCTAAGTGCCCCCCCCAGCAGCGCGCGCGAAGTGCCCCCCCCTATGCCCCCCCCCCCCGCGCACGCCTCGCTCACGCTAAGCCTTTGAGCCCCATGAGGCTGAGGAGGGGCGGAGATGCAATCGGGCGAGCTTGGAAGGGGGGGCCGCGCGCCTCGGTGTCCTCTTTGGGCCCTCTCGGGCACCCCCTGGAGCTCTCCTAGGGCAGTGGTGATTGGATCTCGGGGAAGGCGGATATCCGATCAGACCAGCCTGGGAGGGGAGGGGTGCGCTCGGCTCGGAGCCCTCCTGGGCGCACATGGAGGCCCGCGGGGCGAGGGTGATTGGGTCTCGGGAGGTCCAATCAGGCGAGCCTGGAAGGCCCCCCCCAACCGGCTTGGAGCCCTCTCGGGCCCCCTTTGGAGGCCATCCCGCCTTGCTGCAGCACTAGGCCCAAGGGCGCGGAGCCTCGCCTTACGGAGCGGAGCGCCCAGAGCCTCGACAGCCCCGGCGGAGTTGCCCGCATGGCGGGCGACGATGTAGACAAGCAGAGCAGCCGCGGGTCGTCGTCGGGAGCAGGGATGGTTACTATCGATGGGACCACGTTCATGAGGGTGAAGACTTGCCCGCTCAGCGGCGTCAAAAACACAGACCCGAACCCTGTGACTGAGGGCCCACACGGGCCAGAGAAGAACAAGTTCGCCATCTGGGACCGCGGGGGCTCCCAGAACCCATCGCGCAACCATGAGCGCATATCTATGCTTACATACCAGCATGGCGGCTTTGCTCATCGCCAGCCTGACATCATTAAGTTCGTGGGGGAGCTCAAGGGGGACGCCGGGTTGAAGCGCAAGTTCAAAGCTGCTTACGCGGAAATGCTCGAGCTGGTCAAAGATGGGAGGACCCGACCCCATCAAAGGAGGCGGAGGATGAAGGGGGGAGGACGAGGAGAAGGCGGGGGATGAGGAGGAGGAGGAGGAGGAGGATGAGCCAGGATGAGGATGAGGATGATGATGATGATGATGATGAGGATGAGGAGGATGAGGATGAGGATGAGGAGGATGAGGGGGAGGAGGGAGAGGAGCTGGGTGGATGTGGATGCGAAGATACATGTTTGCAAACGGGCTTTCTTGGGGCGCGTGTAGTAAGGCCGCGAAGCGGCCCGACATTTTGGCTCGTATGCCAGCCATAAGGCGTCGAATGCTGTCGGGCCTTTCTGGGGAAACTAACATGCAAAAGGTTACTGAGCTCTGATCAAGCCCGTCGCCCAGCGCGCAGGATGGCGCGCGCCTCCAGGCGGCCACAGTGCCAATATTCGTTACTGAGTCCACAGAAAGGGAGCGTCAAGAATTACGATAATATTGACGCTCCCTTTCTGGCCTAGATCCCCCCCCCAAGACAAAGCATACTATATATCATATATCTATAAACATATATATATATATACTATATACAGATTGGGGGGTGGAAGTGGAGGTGAAACAGTTCGCTTCGACCCAGGATGCGCTTCCGTGGAGCGGAGAAGGACAAGGCCAAAGGGAGGTTGGAGCAAGCCGTCAAGCAGTCCGTCGTTGCCTACCGGAAGTCGCAACTCAACCTGAAAGAGAAGTACCGGGTCATCCGACGAAATGTCTACGAGAGAGACCATCCTGGCAGGATCGATAGAAAGCAGTTGAAGACTACGAAGCTGCGGATCAAGGGCAAGTTGACAGAGTGCGTCCTCATCTCTTTGTTGCCAGACGGCCATTACGATCTGGATGCGGAGGACATCGCTGGCGCAGCTTTCGACGAGGAGATCGACTCTGGGGAGAACGTCGTTGACGCGGAGCAGCTGAGTGGCAAGTGCAGGGCCGTGGCGGACCAGAGCGTTGGAAGGGTGACTGCAAATGCAATTTCGCACGATGCAGCAGCAGAGCGCGGCTCCCTCCTGGGCGGCGCCGGCTTGGCACATGCTGTGGCGGGGCCCAGGTCTAGGACCGCGGATTCCGAGTCAGATGGTGAAGATATCGGCAAGTCTCTGGACGGCAAGCGTGACAACTTGAAGTTCGTCACGTCATGCATCTTCGATATGGACGACGAGCCGGCGCCTGCGCCGAAAGTCGGCAGCGCCCGCCCGGGCGGCTCTAACAAGCGCACCAGCAGTGCAAGCGCAGGACCCTCCAGCACCCGCACGCCCGACGCCAAGTGCAGCAAGAGGGAGACCAAGTCGACTCCACCGCCGCCAGGTCCTGAGCCCGCCGAGAACCCACCTGCGAAAGGGAAACAAGGGCGCCCAGGCAAGTGGCGAAACAAGAGCGCCAGGGAGGTCTTGGAGTCCGAGGGCATAGCGAAGCCCGAAGCGGCAGTGGCCGCCATGGAGGAAAAGTACGAGAACGAGGCAATCTTCAAGTCGCTGCGCCCGGCCAAGGATTCGCTGTCCGAGGTCATGGGCCCGCTCAGGAAGGCGTCCAGGGAAGCCCACGCCACCGCAGTTAAGCTGGACATCAAGGTCAGGAGGTGGGTGCCCGTGCCCGAGGAGGCCGCGAACGCCGTTGGCAAGCTTCGGGCGAAGACGCAAGCGATGGTTGACTTCGCCGACGCTCTCTCGGATACCTCCAAGAAGAACGGCCCCGGCAAGCTGAAGAAGGCAATGGACCAGATGACTGACGCGGGCTTTAACCTTCCCGTCGCGGCGGTCGGGCTGCTCGCGAAGGTGGAGACGACCGACGCCGCTAACTTCTACAAGGCCTCGGAGCTCGTTGAGATCTTCACTCGTCTTTTTGACAGTCTACCCGGGGAGCCCGATGATGTCCAAGAGTTCGTCTCGGATCTCGCGGCCACCTCGTTCGCGAAGTTCGTGGGGGACGTCGAGTTCGAGGGGCAGCCGATGGCGCCCTCGGCGGACTCGCAGGACCTTCCTTTCCATTCGAGTGGCCAGGAGTAGAGGGGATGCAGGAGGAATGATACAGGAGGGGGATGGTGGAGGAGATGAAGGAGGTGGAAGGTGGCAGGGAAGTCGGACAAATGATGCAGGATGGGCCTTGATCGAATGTCAGAATAGAGCGATGGCACCGTCGTCAGCTTAGTTTTCTGGTTTGGCCGCAGAATCCGAGATCGACTCGAAACGAAGCTGTGCATGAGTAGCAGTAGAGCGATACAACCACAACTGCAGGACATCGTCGTTGCCTTGCACGAGATGGCCCAGAAGGTCTCGGACATAGCCCAGCTCGCCGGCGCGAAGGATGCCAGCTACCTCGCGAGGTGCTTGGACTGACGGGGCAACGCCGAAACTCTGACAGTCAAGACGTTGAACTAAGGACTACTTTGGGCTCGGAAGGGGCTTAGGATATCGGGCCGTTTCTAGGTTTAGGTCCTGGAACCTGTTTGTGGTCTAGGCTCGCCGTGGCCAGAAAAACACCATCGTCCCTAACTATGCGTTCCTTATGTTAGCACGATGACCGCGTCGCCCAGCCCCCCAGCGCCAGAAGCCTTGCGGCACAGGGCTAATACCCTTGCCTTGAAGCCATTGAGAGAACGCAGCTTGCAGCTCAGCGCCCAGCCTCTAGTCTATCTGAGTTTTAGTCTGAATAAAGCTTAATCTAAGAGTCTTAGTTTATGGCCTCCTGCTCCCTCAACCCAGGACGCAGGGCGCAACCTAAACATTGTTGTCCTACTTTTTCCCATGTGTTTCCATGTTACTTCTGTTGTATGCAGTGAGCCCGTTTCAAAACACGTTTTCGCATGCTCTGAACGTCGGCCGTCGCGCCCATGCGTTTGGGCCATTGGGCTGCCATTTTGCTGGTCGTTCTGTTCTGGCATAGGCAGGTGCCGCACGTTTCGTTGGCGTTCTGTTTTCGCGCGGGCAGGCACCGCTTGTTTTGTTGGCGATTCGTTGTGCTGCCAGCACAACCCCCTAGTACCCAGCACAACCCCCCAGCACAACCCCCTGGCACAACCGCGCAGCACAACCCCCCAGCGCAACACTCCAGCACAACCCCCCAGCACAAGCCACAACCCCTCCCCAGCACACTCCCCCAGCACAACCGCCATCACAACCTCTCAGCACAATCCCCCAGCACAATCACCGGCACAACCACTCAGCACAATTCCCTCAGCACCCCCCCCAGCAGAACCCTCCAGCGCCCACCTCTCCCCCGCAAAATCCCCCAGCACAACCTCCAGCGCAACCCCCAGCACAACCCCTTTGCACAAACTCCAGCACAACCCCCCAACATGACTCCCCGGCACAACTCCCCAGCACAACCCCTCAGCACAACCCATCAACACAACCTCCCAGCACAATCCTCCAGCACAACCCCTCAGCACAATCCCCCAGCACAACTCCCCAGCACAACTCCCCAGCATAATCCCCCAGCAAAGCCCCCGAGCACAACCCCTATCAGAATTCCCTGGCACAACCCCCAGCACAACCCCTTGATACAACCCCCAGCGCAACCTTCCAGCATAACTTCCGGGCACAATCCCCTAGCACAATCTCTCAGCACAACCCCTCAGCACAACCCATCAGCACAACCCCCCAGCACAATCCACCAGCAGAACCCCAGCACAACCACCCCAGCACAACCCCCTCAGTACAACCCGCCAGCACAACCCCTCAGCACAGCACCCCAGCATAATTACCCAGCACAACCCCTTGGCACAACCCCCAGCACAACCCCTTGGCACAACCCCCAGCACAACCTCCCAGCACAACCTCCAAGGGGGTTGTGGTGGGGGGCTGTGCTGGAAATTGTGCTGAGGCGTTGTGCTGGGGGATTGTGCGGAAGGGTGTTGTGCGGAGGGGGGTTGTGCTGTACGTGTGTGTGTGTGTGTGTGCTGACGGGTCACTTAAATTGTTGTTTGCGCTCTCGCTGCAGGCAGGACACATCGTCCGATGATGCGGAAGATGTGTCCTGGCAGGACACATCCTCAGATGATGCGGAGGCCAAGGTCCAGGCGCTGGACCATGTGCACGCGATGGTGGGCGACCAGAGCTATGATGGCATACTGAAGCTTGCGAGCACAACAACCGGTTGGGCCCCCTTGATGTCGCGGTGTCGGGGGCAGATCGGCGACACTTTTACCGTCGGCAAGAATCTGACAAGCTCGTTGGAGAAGGTATTTCGAGATACGGCTACCACCAGTGATGTTGAAGCCCTGTTCGTGAACTTGCGAGTGGCCTTCCCCTTGCTCCTGGAAGATGGATCTGGCAAGCTGAAAGTTCGGGTGATACAGGCCCTGCGAGGGTTGGAGCAGGTGAGCGGAAAGCTCATCAATATAATATCCGAGAACTTTGTCTGCGTGGTTGAGCACCCTGAGACCGTCAGCAACCCAGATGAAGCCAACGCGCTGCTTCAGGAACAGGCAGACGAGATTAGGATGTCGCCCAGTCGTACAGCAGCGGCCACCTCTTGGTACGATGACTTGAGCGAGAAGGTCAATAACACCGTCCGCAACTCGCTGGAGCTGAAAGAGGTGCGGGATGCGTTAGACTCGATCGCATCCGTGGGTGAGGAGATAACCAGCCGCGAGAAGCTCTTCGACGCCGTGCACAAGACCCTGACTACTTGGATTACTGTGCGCAGTAAGGCTGGCGAGGAGAAGTTGGCTATCTTCCCATGCTGGGAAGCCGTGGCTACCTTGAAAGATGCAGTTTCGACGAAATACGGGCTGGACTCTGAGGTGACCGATGCGCTCGACTCCATCGAGTCCAAGCTCGAGCTGGACGACCTGGGGGCCACCTTGTACAAGACGAGGGTTGCCACCTTCAAGGAAGCGGTCTTCGCCCACGCGGTGGCGTGCACTAACTTGAATGGCACAACTGTCACCGATGCGGCTGCCGTCGAGTTGGTGATCTCCACAGGAACCACGGTGCGGGATATGGCTCATCCGTGCTTGCAGGTCTGCCGCTGGTCGGAGACGCCCGGGCGCGACCGCGCTGCCATTGCCCTCGTCCGCGATGTGATCCTCTGCGTCACGTCGATGGGCCATGTCGCATGCAAGATGGATGCGAATATCGATGTGGAGTTCGCGCCTAGCGCGGACCTGGATAGCTCAATCAGCCAGATGAGCGAGAAGGCAGAGGATGTCTCGCTCTCCATAACTTGGCTCATGGGGGACAGCATGGGAGCATCTTTCGCGGGGAAGGTGAAGTCTTGGTGCGAGCGCTTGATGGGCGCGTCGGTGAACGCGACAGACCTGAAGCTCGAGGAGATCGATCAGCTGATGAACGCTATCCTTTCCAAACTCGTGGAGAAGGGCCAGGACATGACATGGGCCCAGATCGTGTCCAAGTTCAAGGCCAAGGATGCGGGCGAAGTGAAGTCCATCCGCTACAAGCTGAAGACGGCTGTGGGCGAGCTCCCGGAGGGCAAGCGGCTCAAGAAACACAATGAAGTGTTGGGCGAGTCGCGGTTCCAGACTTTCAAGTGGGGCGTCGCGACGCTGATGACCAACCCATCAATAGGCTTCACCGCTGCGGACGGCCGTGAGATTCGCTCCAACCTGAAGGATGTCTGGGCCGTGTCTGGTGCCGATGAGCAGTTCAAGAAGTACCTCGGCGAGGGCGTGGTCAAGGAGGTGGAGGATATCTTGGCTATCAAAGACGAGGCCGGGGAGGGCGAGAACCGCACCAGTGAGTCCAAAGGCAAGAGGGCGAAGGCTGCGAGCGCCAGCTCTGGCCCCGAGGCCAAGAGGGCGAAAGCCTCGGCCTGACTTAGGGTTGGCCGCCAGCAGCTGCATCGCACACTAGTCTGCCTCGTTGGGGCAATGGCCCGACTTGGCTGGCCACCCAGGCCCGCCGCGGAGGAGGCGCGCCCCTGACACCCTAGAGAAACGCAGCCCAAATGGGGACCCACAGTCTTGACGTTGGAAGCAAGGCCATGTATTTTGATCAACTTGGGGCGCGATTCTCCAGGGTCTTTGGAGTCAATTTGCCAGGCATGCTCAAGCCCTGCTGCGCTCTTCGCCTCGAGAGCGGGGGGGGGGTCGGCGAAATCTCGGGGCTGGGGAGGCCGCCAGTGAACGGCTTCAGAGAAGCATTCGCAGTAAGGCTTGGATCGACTGGCCCAGGCTGCGCAGCGTGCTCGCGGTGTTTGGGAGCGACTAACACCGATGGAAAAGCAAAAAAAAATCCAGGGGGAAGTGGGGGAAGGAGGCCACAAATTATGCAACGAGCCCGCCGCAGGCGCTGATTTTTTCTTCCAACCAATGTGGATCCCTGGATCGGTCTCGGGTGGGTTGCGGGGTGGGTCGCGCGGGGCTGGTCGCGGGCGGGCCGCGGGGGGGATGACGACAACGAACAACAACAACAACACCAACAACAACAACAACAGCAACAACAACAACAACACCAACAACAACAACAACAACAACTCCAACACCAACACCAACACCAACACCAACACCACCAACAACACTAACAACAGCAATACCAACAACAACAACAACGCCAACAACAACAAAAACAACACACACACACACAACAACAGCAGCAGCAACAACAACAGCGCGACAATCATAATCCTCACAGCGGAGTCCCAGTACAGCCACGCACCCGGGGACAATGAATGACCGTTCGCTCCCCTCACCCTGACCTTGGATATCCTTAGCCTCGCAGGGGCAGACGCGGCGTCGGCGCTGGTCAGGCGAGACGTGGCGAGGCATCATTTGACAAGATACGTTCCGACCATCTCGAGTTGGCTTCCTGGCTCCTCCCTCGGCCCATGTCCCATCCCATCCGTGTGCCATCTTTTTTTTTTCCCAGGGCCAAAGAACCGTCGGCGCAGCTGGCCCCACCACGCAGATCATGGGGCGCGGGATGAAGCGCCCGGCTGCTGCTGGCGGTGATGGGCCATCGAAGTGCTTGGCTCTCGTCGCAGTTCCGACTCCGAAGACGCAGAAGCTGCAGCTGAAGAAGAGCTGCCTGTACGACGACTATAACCTCGGCCAGTTCATCCGCATGAGTTGGGGCAAGCTGAGCACGCATGAGAAGGAGGTGGCCATGCGGACCGCTAGGCTGCCAACGACAGGCAGGTGCGCAAGTTTGTGTTCTGGTTCTGGCATGGGGGAGATCTGCCACCATGCAGTCCACGAGCTTCTCGGTGGCGAGTTCAAGCACTTGCACAGTTGCGAGCAGAGTCACTTCAAGCGGCTGCACCTCAAGCAGAACGTCCACACGTATCTTCAGCAAGATCCACTTCACGAGCCGTGCCTCTTCGATGACACTGTTGGGCTGCATCTCGGACAGGGCAAGTGCGCGACCCACGACAAGCTTTGCAGGGTCGAGCAGGGGGCCTTCTTGCTGGTCGCAGGTTACAGCTGCAAGAATCTCACGATCCTCTCGCCGAATCCCATCCACAAGGTCTTGGAGAAGGGGCTGGGGTCTTCCGGGGCCACGTGCCTCGGTGTCTGCGAGTACATGAAGGCGTACCGCCCGAAGATGGCCATCTTAGAGAATGTTCCAGAGATGGCAAAGGACGAGGATGAGTCCGATAACGTGAAGTGGCTCGTGAATTGGCTCCGCGACGCAGGCTATGAGGTGCAGACGCGCGTGTTGGTCAGCAGCGACTACATGCTTCCGCAGAAGCGCGCCCGGGCGTGGACGTTCTGCATTAACTTGGACGCCTTCCAGCTCGAGCCAGACGAAGCACACGCCGTCATGCTGAGGATGTTCAGCACCGTTCTGAAGCTTGCCACGCCTGCGCTCAAGCTGGATAAGTTCCTCATCCCTGAGGGCAGTGCTGAGATCGAAGCGGAGCAGCTTCGCCAGCGCCGTCGGCGCGCTCAGGAGATCGCGGATGAGAAGCACGCTAAGGATCAGCGTGCCAAGGACAAGGATGCGGCTTGGGTTCGGAAGCACCAGAAGTTCTGCGAAGATAACGGGATCTCTTGGACCCGCCTGCGCCCTTCGTCCGCAGTGAGCACCAGCCCGTCGTTTGAGCTGAGTTGCGAGCGCCACCAGGAGATCATCGCCGTGGCTGAGCGGATGTACGACAAGAAGTTGCTGGCCGTCGACGTGAATCCGAACATCGATCGGGGCATGATGATGCACGACACTGAGCTCATGGCGACGTTCGTGTGCGGCACGAAGAACTACCTCATGTACACCGACCAGGATGATCCCAGCTGCGTGCCCAGGGCGCGCTACATGTTAGGCCAGGAGGCTCTCAACGTGCAGGGCTTCCCGATGAAATTCATCGAGTGGCGCCTTGATGGTGAGGCCTTCGAGCTGTCCGACGCTCAGTACTCCGACTTGGCAGGCAATGCCTTCTCGTCGACGCCCTGTGCTGCGATGATCCTCGCTGCCTACGCGAATATGCCGACGATGCCGACGCCTCCAGCCACCAGCAGCACCATCACCACCATGAAGGACATTCGCTCCATGTTCGATGTGTTGTGAGCTGCGTGGCCGAGGCCACCTTCCTCAGTCAAGGGCCGCGCCGTGGCCCTGGACCCCAGCTGCGAGAGGTTTAGCAGCGATGGGTCAGGGACGATGATGAGGAGGGTGAGGAGACTGATGCTGATGATGATGATGATGATGATACTGATGATGATGATGATGATGATGATGATGATGATGATCATGATGATGATGATGATACTGCTGCTGATCACGATGATGATGATAATGATGATGATGAGGAGGAGGAGGAGGAGGAAAAGGAGGAGTTCGTGGAAGCGAGGGCCCTGGATGAAGAGGGCCGCGACTAGGCCCGGCGATCATCCTTTCTGACATGAGGGCGGGTAGTGGGACTAAGGATCTACCCAGCAAGCGTCAAGTCGCATCGCATCTCTTTCTCTCAGCCTTCCGGTTGGGGCCGTGTCCTCTCCCTTCTTCTCCTTCCACTTCTCCTCTGCCTCCCCTCCTCTTCCTCCCCCTCCTCCCCCTCCACCTCCTCCCCCTCCCTCTGCCCCTGCTGTATGCGGCGTAGCATGGAGCTGAGGAGCACCGTGCGCTCCAAGGCGGAATGGTCCCCAGGACTCCGCTGCATTTCGATTTCTGACGGGCCGAGTTCTGAATATATAGGTGTTCGATGTTTGGTTGTATATTTGAATTTCAGCATGTATAATATCTGGATATGCTGTTATTATCACATTATTTCAGCATCATATAAAATAACCTGCAAAGACTGAGCGTGACTATTTAATGCATCAGTATAACACGTAATCATTTCTGAACATGAATATTCGCACATCCATATCATACCTTTTTATTTCTCAACATGAATATATGCATATCGAGTATCGCAACTTGGCATTTCTGCATGTTCCTGAGCTGAAGTCAAGGACATAAGCTTTGAATTCTGTCAAGGCATAGGGGATGAGAGGAGGGGCACGGGGGATTGAGAAAGGAGGGATGAGAGAAGATGGCAAAGGAGTCGGATGGCGCAAAGGAGGTAGGAGACTGGCAGGAAGGGGCCAAAGAGAAGAGCAGGAGCGCAAGACACGGACGCAGGCGGGCCAGTCGGGCGGGCGGTGGGGGCGGACCACGACGGGCAGGCTGGGCGGGCGGGGCACAAGAGCGGGCAGCGAGTGGAGACTCTGGGCCCCAGCGGGCGGGTCGGGCGGGCGGGCTCCGACGGGTGGGGCGTGCGGGCGGGCTACGATTCCCAGCCATTATATGGTGTTGGGTCTGCGTTTTGAAGAGACATCGCCCCGCGTCCATTTTCCTCCCTCCTGTTCCTCCTCCTTCTCTTCTCTTCCCCGCCCCTGCTCTCCGCAGTCAGCACCATCATCATCAGCTGCAGCAGCATCCCCATCATCATCATCATCATCATCATCATCATCAGCATCATCATCAGCATCATCAGCATCAGCATCAGCATCAACATCAGCATGAGCATCAGCAGCATCATCATCATCATCATCATCATCAGCATCACCATCAGCATCAGCATCATCATCATCATCATCATCGTCATCATCTTTCCCTAACATCTTCGTTCATTATTCGTTCTCTATGTTTACGTCATTCGGTCCTTGCGCTTCCCACTCTGAACGCACGCTCCGAGGATCGTCGCAGGATCGGCACCGACCCTCCGGCGCTCGGCCTGGGCTGTTTGCCCCTCCTCCCGAGGCGCCGCGCGCGGGCACGGGCACGGTGGAGGCCGAGGTGCTGTCGCGAAGGTCCTCCTCCTCCTCCTCCTCCTCCTCCCTCCCTCCCTCCCTCCCTCCCTCCCTCCCTCCCTCCTCCCTCCCTCCCTCCCTTCCACCTCCTCCTCCTCCTCCTCCTCCTCCTCCTCCTCCTCCTCCTCCTCCTCCTCCTCCTCCTCCTCCTCCTCCTCCACCTCCTCCTCCTCCTCCCTTCTCGTCGTCATCCACCTCCTCCTCCTCCTCCACTCTCCTCCTCCTCCTCCTCCTCCTCCTCCTCCTCCACCTCTCTCCTCCTCCTCCTCGTCCTCCTCCCCCTCCCCCTCCCCCTCCCCCTCCCCTCGCGGAGGCAGCAGAAGAAGCAGGTGCTCCGCGACATCTGGAGAGCAGAGGGCGGCGGAAGCGTGGATTTTGGGAGGCCCGCGTGGAGATCTCGGGTCGGCGCCGATGCCCCCCAACCCTCGTCGTGGAAAGAACCACACAGACATCAAGAACCAGACACAAACCACACAGACAAACAAGCACACAGACAAACAACCACGCAGACCAACAACCAGAACTAGAGAACAACCACGCAGACAAAAACCATATAGACACCAAACCACAAAAGCCCGCCCCTTGTCGTAGGAAAAAGGTCAGGCCATCGAAGAAGAACAAAACAACCACCCAGACATAAACTTATGGCGCTCCGCGCGGATTTCCTGGATCCGCGCCTGGGCCCCCCGGCGGCGCCTCCAGCGCCGCCCCTGGCGCGCCCCGCGCGCCAGGGAGGGGGGTCAAGCGCGGATCCAAGAACTCCGCTCGGAGCGCCAAAAGTTTATGTTTGTGCAGTTGTTTCTTTTCCTGGGGCAGGCAGTTCTGGGCAGCGTGCTGCCCCCAGGGGGCTCTCGCTGGGCCCCATAGGACTGAGAGCGGCTCGGGATGTGAAGCGCGCCGGTCCGGGGTCTGGCGCCGACCCTTCAGGAACCCACTCGAAGCTTCGAGCCCAGACCTCCTCGGGTCATTAGAAAATCATGACGGGAGGTTTTTCCTATGTTTCGGTTTTTGGAGGCCCCAACCAGGCCTCGGGACCGTCACAAAACGATTCGGGATGAGAAGCCGGTCCCGGGGAAAGGGTCGAGATCTCTGGGGGTCGACGTCATGAAAAAGTCATGACGTCGGGGGTTTGGGAACATGTGCAGTAGGTTCGCGTTGCGTCGACGCGGCGGTGACCCCACCGCGCGCGTTCAAGGTTGAACGCCGCCAGTGGCCCAGAATCTTGTGGACGACGATCAGTGGAGAGGAGGCATATTGACAAATAGTTTCCAGATGTCTAGCACTTGTTTATAATCATTGCTTAAACATGTAAAGATCATGCTTTACACATTTCTAAAACATGCATCAAACAGTTTAAACACATGCTTAATTTGATCGGATTGTCTGGGTGTCCGTTGTGATGGCATCCACAATCAGAATCGGCAAACATGACACTGTCCAACGGCGGGGAGGCCGCTGGTCGCTCAAGCTGGAGCGATCCAGCGCGGTGTCAGGAGCCCACGCCTGGGTTCGTCACGACACGAGCTTGCCGTACTCACCCTGAGATCCGACGCTGCAAAACAAAAATTGTCAGGAGGGGAGAAACACACATACACAATTAATCGTCGACTCCCATGAAAATATGGGAAAATATTGACAGTGGGGGGGGAAGACGAAAATCTAGAAAATATAGGAAAGCATGTGGAACCCTGTTATTTGTGTATATTTATTTGTGTGTCCCAAGGCCCCTTCAAATTGAAACGTCGCAAGAAATCACGAGCCCCGGACCCCATCTGAATTTTCGAGCCGGGTCGATCTGCGAGGGTCCCGCGGCCCAGAATTGAGGGAAGACGCCCGGCGTGAAGGCTCTCCGCGTCCTTTATCGAGCCGGATCGCTCTGCGAGGGTCCCGGGGCCCAACATTGAGGGAAAATGCTCAGCGTGAAAAAGCTGCAACGTACCCAAATCCCCGACGTAATTTTTTTTTCATTACCTCGACCCCCAGAGGTCCCGACTCTTTCCCCCATGACCGGCTTTGCATCCTGAGTCGTTTTTTGACGCTCCCGAGGCCCGGTGAGGGCCCCCATGCAGAGGCCAAAAATTACCAGAGCTGCCCGTCACGATCTTGTTCATTACTCGAGGGGGTCTGGGTGAGGATATCTCAGGGTGCGCTTGTGCCGCCCTCGTCTCTCCCAGACATCCGGCAGGGCCGCAAGGGGCAGAAGAAGGTCCAGCGGCAGGCGGACGCGCTGGGCGCGGCGCTGGCGGCGCTGGAGGCCGCCCTCGGGGCGCTGCTCCCCGACGGCGCGCCGGCCCGCCGCGCGGGCCCGCCGCGCGGCGGAGGCGCGCCCCCCGCCGCGGGGGCCGCCGAGGAGCCCGCCGGGAGCGCCCCAGCTCGGGACGCCCGACATGGGTACGGAAGGAATGGGTACGCCCTTGAGGTGTTCGTCCTCCGCCGCCCCCAGAATCCCAACTTCGGCTTCCAAGGGTCTTGCGTCCTTACCGCGCGTCCTTATTAAGGTTTTTGGCTGTACAGAAAGAGTGGGTACAGTGCCCAACAGCAGTTCCTGTTCATTTTGAGCAGGACTCGCTGTCCGCGCCGCCGCGGCCTGTGCCCATGCGAGACAGAAGGCCGCCGGCCCAGCAGCGGCCGCTGTTGGTTTGGGACAACATTTGTTGTTGGGCATTGTTCCCATTCTTTCGGTACGCATTTCGGGTGTCCAAACCAGCGTGGCCGCGGCAGCGGCCGCCCGTGCCCCCGCCGGCCGACGCGCCGCTGGCGGCGCGCCTGCGCGGCGCGTTCGGCGTGGGCGTCGGCTACCGCGAGCTGCCGGTGGCCCACGGGCCGTCGCCGTCGCAGGGCCTGGCGGCGCTCGGGGCCGCGCTGGTGCGGCCGCCCAGGTACAGCGAGGGGAGAAAAGACACAGACACAATCAGTCGTCGATTCCCAAGAAAATAAGGGAAAGTATGGGAATTGGGGGGGAAGGCAAAGACCCAGAGAATCTGGGAAAAAAGATGGTGAGTCTTTTTGTTTGTGTGTGTGTGTGTTTATTTGTGTGTCCCAGGGCCTCTTCACAGGTACAGCGAGAAGTTCCTGCCGCAGGAGTACTCCCTGCTCCACAAGGTGTGGTGCCTGCTCGAGGGCGACGGCCGCGAGGCGGGCATCCTGGACGTGGGGGCGGGCAACGCGAACTGCGCGACGCTGGCCGCGGCCCTGCTGGGCCTCACCGTCATCTGCGTGGAGAGGGAGTCCCCACGAGTGGAGCTGAGGGCGGAGATGCAGCTGCCTCCCCGGCTGCGGCCTCGAGTCGTGCGCGTGGAGAGCGACATCGCCGACTTCGGCACCGACGCGCTGCGGGGCCTGGCGTCCACCCACGGCCTGCGGCGCCTCGTCGTGGTGGCCAAGCACCCGTGCGGCATCGGCGTGGACCGCACCATCGAGTTCGCCGGCAGGCTGCGCTCCGCGCCGGCCGACGGCCAGACCCCGGCAATCGTCGGGCTCGTGATGGCCACGTGCTGCACGAACAAGCTCAGCCTGGACGACAATCCCGGACGGGGCCAGGACGAGGAGGATTGGGCGTTGCGTAAGGGGGGGTCATAAACGGGGGGGGGGCGAGGGTGGTCCGAAAAGGTACCCAAACGGTACCTAAACGAGCCCCCTGGGGCTCCGGAGGGGCCCGAAAGGGGCACGAAAGGGGGCCGTTTCTGACCTCCCCATTTATGACCCCCCCACTAAGCCACACCCAAGATGAAGCCGTCGTGCGCTCCGGCTCGGGCCGAGTCCGTCCGTCCTGCGCTCCTGCTCGATCCGAGTTCCCGGCTCGATGCCGATGGATGTTGCCGTTGCCCTCGTTCCGTTCCCCCCTCGCCTCGGACGGGGCTAGGACGATGACAAATCCGTTCCAGAGCGTTGTGGACCGCTCTCAGAGCGTTCCGGGACGCTCTGAGAAGGCCGCTGCGCACGGGACGGCCTCCAGCGCCGCCGGATCTCAGAGTTTATCGATCGTGGGTGGACAGACCTCCTACCCTGACACGTCGATTAGCGGATTGGCCGTTTTCGGTGAGCGAGAGGGCGCCGCGGCCGTCGTTTTTGCGGGCCCAGGTGCGTCGGTTTCGGTCCCAGGCCGTTCTCGCTGAAGGGTGGTGGTTTACGAAAGGGAGGTTTCTCCACCGCCGACTCGATCCTCCCTCACCCGATGCTACCCTCGTCCCGGCTTCGTCCCACAATCGCGTCTCGCGGGTGGGCGAGTTCTGCTCCCTGTACTCGGCCGCGGTGCGCCCTCGGGGCGGGAGCTCGGCCCTCGAGGCCGCGGTGGAGGTCCTCAGCCGCTGCAGCGCCTGGCGCAGCGCGTCCGGCAGCGAGGGCAACGCGATTCACGGCGATCAGGTGGCCTGGGCCGAGCTCTTCTCGAGGAGCACAAAGGTCTGCATGGAAGTGAGCTCTCGGAGCTCCGCGCGGATTGCTAGGAGGAGGAGGAGGAGAAGAAAAAGGAGGAGGAGGAGGAGGAGGAGGAGGAGCCGCCAGCGGGGTCCAGCGCCGATCCAAGAGAAGTCTGCGCGGAGCGCCGGAAGTTTGCGGTTGGCGTTGGACAGGTGGCGTGCAGTGTAGCGCCGCTGGCTTGCTCATCCCATGATCTCCCCCACCTCGGGGATAGCGTGCACCGAAGAGTCTTCGGCAGGGGGATGGCGCGCTCAGAGGGGGACAGCGAGCTTTCGGATTTCGATGATGCTGCACGGCGCATTCCCATCGCCAGCCGCATGACTACGGAAGGACAGAAGCGGCATAAGCATAAATGTCCCGAGGGCCGTGCGGACTTCTTGTCGGAAATTGGAACATGTACATTACCAGTGGCGGGTTGTTTTTTCGATCCCAGGACTTTCTGAGGGTCGGTGATCGTTTTTGTTTTAATCGGTGCTTTGCCGGTCGGCGCGGGCCCTCGCACCCCCCCTTCCCCCCCCCCATGCAGTAGATCTGATCTGTTTTTCTTGGCTCCTGTTTCAAGCAGGTGGCGTCCCTCCCCCACGGAACGCACTGCTGCAAACCGTCGCATGAAGCAGAGGTCCGGAGCCAGGACCCCGCCCTCCCCACCGCTTCCGCCCACTGTCGAAGCGCCGGTTGAGAAACAAAAACGTTCACGTGTGCTTGTGCAGTTTGTGTGTTCCTCCAGCCTATGCAGCTGTTTGCTCCTCGGCCTTCGAGGACGCGGTGCAGGCACTGCGTCTGCGCCGGCTCGCGGAGCTCTTCGAGGCCGTGGCGCAGGTGCGTTTCGCGCCCTCCGAGTGCACGCTGCAGGAGCTCGGTGGGCCACGCGTTGGGGTGGGGCGGGCCTCCGGGAGGGTGCCTCCTCCTGCTTCCCCCCTTGCTTCTCCACCTGCTGCTGCTGCTGCTGCTGCTGCTCCTCCTCCTCCTCCTCTTCCTCCTCCTCCTCACCCCCACTTCATCCTCCTCCTCCTCCTCCTCCTCACCCCCACTTCATCCTCCTCCTCCTCCTCCTCCTCCTTGGCCTCCTCCTCCTTCTCCTCGACGGTAGCAGAGGAACACGCAATGGTATAAGCGTGGCGGCTCGGAGGTCTGCGTGCATTTCTCGGATCGGCGCTGGACCCCCCTCCCTGGCGCGCGGAGCGCGCTGGGGGCGGCGCCGGTGGCGCCGCCAGGCGGCCCCGGCGCGGATCCGATGAATCCGCGCGGATCTCGGACTTTTTATGCCCATGTCATTGTTTGCTCCCCTAGATAGGGCCCCCGTACCTCCAACATGCTCTGGTCGGCCACGCGTCAGAGTGGCCCTTCGCAGGAGTGACCTCTCGTGCGGGGACAGTGGGGTCCCCACATGGCCGAGCGCGACTCGCGAAAGCAGCGGCGTGCGCGTTTGGCCCCCCCGCGGCCCGCGAACGTCGCGCACCCAGGGTCACTCTTGCGTGTAGCCGATTGGGCACGTGCAGGTGGTCGACCCAAACGGTGCTTTGGCAATGCCGTGGGCCGTGTTCGTGTCTTTCTCGTTTTGCAGCGAAGGCGGTTTGGAGACGAGACGAGGGAACAAGTGGAACGAAAGCAATACGAGAAAGAAAAACGGCGTCTAGTCGATCCCTTATGTGGAGATTCCCCAGCCTGGGCCTTTCACCGATGTCCGGCGATGTCCTCCACTCTCCTCCTTCTCCTCCCCCTCCTCCCCCTCCTCCACCCTCCTTCCCCTCCTCCTCCTCCTCCTCCTCCTCCTCCCCCTCCTCCTCCCCCGCCTCCCCTCCTCCCCCGCCTCCTCCTCCTCCTCCTCCTCCTCCTCCTCCTCCTCCTCCTCCTCCTCCTCCTCCTCCTCCTCCTCCTCCCCCCTCCTCCTCCACCCCGCGGTGGGGGGGGCAGTTACTGCGCTGCTGGGCACCGACAATTTCTCCTGGTGCCGGGCCCCACGCCGCGGGGGGAGACACCGACAGGTGCCGTCCGCGCTCCGCGGCTCGGTGTCGGCATGCCGGCTCGTCCTGTCGAGCCCCGCCCCGCGGCACCCTGCCCGGGGCCGTGGCGCCCCGCGGCGCTGGATCTGCACGCGCGAAATGGGTACAGTCAGAAACCCGAATAAGGACGCGCGACTTTGCTCAGGGTACCCTTGCGTCCTTGCTCTTCCCTGCTCTTGCGTCCTTGAGGTGTTCGTCGGCCGCCGCCCCCGAAATCCCAACTTCGGCTTCCAAGGGTCTTGCGTCCTTACCGCGCGTCCTTATTAGGGTTTTTGGCCGTACAGAAAGAATAGGTACAATGCCCAGCAGCAGTTCCTGCTCATTTTGAACAGGACTCGCTGTCCGCGCCGCCGCGGCCTGTGTCCATGTGAGACAGAAGGCCGCCTGCCCAACAGCGGCCGCTGTCGGTTTGGGACAGCATTTGTTGTTGGGCATTGTACCCATCTTTTCCGTACCCATTTCGGGCATCCAAATTGGAGCCCCCTTGAGTTTCCAGGCGCGGGGATCGTGCCTTGGTTGGGGTAGCGGGGCCGTGTGGCTCATAAGATCCACGGGGCCTTCGTGCCTACTCGCACTGCGGTACCAGACCCGTCGCACATGCCGTATGTTTTGACAGGGGTTGGTGGTCGGTAGCGACCTCACAGAGA